TCTTTGTACGTGGTATTACCGCTTAAGGGTTGGGACTGAGAAAACTTCTTCATTTGATTTTTAAGGAACACCCTACTGTACATACATATCGATACCTGAGTGTGAAGATCGAACTATCTCGGCAGCCAGTTCGAAAACGCCCTATCTCAGAAAACTTTTCAAGAACGCCCTACTTCAGAATTTGGTTGAGGAATGCCCTATCTCAGTTGCCGATTCAAAAACGCCCTATCTCAACACATTTTCAATATTTTTTCAGGTGGGGTAGGGCGTTTTTGAACCGAAATATGAGATAGGGTGTTTTTTAATAAAATTCTGAAATAGGGCGTTATTAAATGAAATTCTGAAGTAGACGTTCTTGAAAAATTTTCTGAGATGGACACTCTCTTCGCTTTCTTTTAGCAGACAGTTGCGGCAAGTCTGTTATTGGAAAGCCCTATTCTAACTGCATACTTTTTTAGCGGCTAGCTTCACATAATGCTTGCTACGACTCTGAATACTTCTTGGCTGAAGTTATACTTTTTTAATGGATCATAAAACTAAATGGACCATAAAAGGATTTATGGGACATTTACAATAAGAGAAAAGGGAGGCGCTGAGTATCGATGAAGTTATGATCGTGTTCATATTTCTCCAATAACTCAGAAAAATATAGTTTTACAGCGCCCGTTTACAGTTCAATGTTAAAAATTCATATTGGGTGTATCACCACGTTTAAAATGCATCTCTGTACGATACTTCTACTTAATCTATACTAATTATATAAAGAGAAGTCCCTTTTTTTTGTAACAGGTAATCTCGCGAACGGCTGGACCGATTTTCATGAAATTTTGTATACAAATAGCTTTCGGTAACCACCAGGCTAAAAAAATTTTACTTTTCTTCGGGTAGGTGGACCAGGAATCGAAAAAATCTCATTATAGTCCGATTTGCTTAAAATTTAGTACGTAAGTAGCTTTTTAGCATATATTAGCATATATGACCCATTTTTTCCGGGAAGTGGTCCAGGGACCGATCTATTCGAAAAAATCGAATTTACGGTCCGATTTGCTTAAAATTCGGTGCGCAGATAGCCTTTTAGCATGTATTAGCATACGTGATCAATTTTTTCCGAGAAGTGGACCAGGGACCGATCTATTCCAAAAAATCGCATTTATGGTCCGATTTGCTTAAAATTCGGTACGCAAGTAGTTTTTTAGCATATATTAGGATATATGGTCCATTTTTTCCGAGAAGTGGACCAGGGACTGATCTATTCGTATTCATAGGTAGCTTTTTGCCTGGATAAGCTTATAGATTCCTGGTTTCCAATTTACATGCTATTTCGAATATAAATAGCTTTAAGTAACGACCATATCAAGGGATACTGTCAAAATATATTTATAATATATAATACATCACAACTAATTTATATTTAGAAAGCCGTTTGTTAGTTTTCGCAAGGCTCGAGAGCGGCTGAACCGATTTTTTTGAAACTGCCACCTGCCGCACGTGTCCCAAGGATGGTTTTAGGCTGAAAAAAATCTATATGTAAAGGGGGCGTGGCACTTCCCATACAAACCGAATTTCTCATGCTACATATCTCTGAAAGTGTGCATGGTAGAGTTTTGGAAATTGGTATGGAGATATACGAAATCAATCGCATACCCTTGGAGAAAAATTTTAGCTATAGTAAAAGAGGGTGTGACATCTCCCATACAAACCGAATTTTTCATACTCTTATCTCTGGAAATTTTTTGATAGAGTTCTAGAGTTTTGTATGCAGATGTACGAAATAAATCGCATACTCTTGGAGAAAAATTGGAACTATTGGAAAAGGGGGCGTGGCATCTTCCATACAAACCGAATTTTTCATACTGCCTATCTTTGGAAGTGTTCATGGTAGAGTTCTGGAACTTGGTATGGAGATATACGAAATCAATCGCATACTCATGAAGAAAGAGGGCAGCTGTTGGAAAGGGGGCGTGGCTCCTCCCATATAATTCGAACTTTTATACTGCATATCTCTGAAAGTATTCATGGTACAGTACTGGAACTTCGTATGGAGATATGTATATAGTTGAAATCAAGCCCATACTCATGGAGAAAATTTGGGCTATTTGAAAAGGAGTGTGAGGCCTACAAACCTACAGACCTTTATCTATCTATCTTTAAATGAATTTTTTTATTCTTCTGTAGGTGTGTTTGTGAGTGAAATCCTCCTAAATGGTTGTACGTATATGTATGCAATACTATTGCAAAAACGTGCTGCCAAGTGGTGCTGAAGTCGAGCTATTACTAAAAATATACAAGTGAGTAAAGGGCCCGTGAAGGTCAGATTCAATCGACCTGTTGCACCATTGAGTATATCGAACGCTCCTGCGTTGCAATTGGCCCAATGGATGTGATTTTCCAATATTATTGTGCGTTCAAACTTTTAAGGTATTTCGTCTGAAATAAGTATATGTATATTGCATTTCTGTAGAACAATGATTCGCACCCATTTTGAAATTGCCACCTACTATACTGTAAAGCTTCTAGGACATTCACTATAGAACGGGGTCATTGTTGCCGCTAGGGAGTGAAGAGGAAATATTTATTTCGCTTTGGGAATAACCGTGCTATGAAATGCCGCACAACTGGAGAATTTCAAGAACGGATATAACACTTTCCTTTAGTTATTTAAAGCGGCAAATAACCACCAAACCTTAATCTTAGCAGACAAATGTGCCAATGGAAATCGTTAACGTGAATTGTTGGTAAAAATGTTGGACCAAAAAGTTTCAATAAAATATATAAAAATTTTGGGCGGGACGAAGTTCGCCGGGTCTGCTAGTACAATTTTATAAAGGAAGAGTGGGCCCATCACACATTTATCAAATAATTTCTTGGCCGAGCTGCTCCTCCGGTTTGTAGTGTGGGTCTTGATGTTTTCAAACTACGCCGCCTCCGAACAGAATACTGGTTTTTATGGCAGAAATACCAGTGGAGGGGCGACCACATACGTGATCTTGTGGAACCACTTCATCATCAATTCCATCATATCCGCACCGTTCCTTCGATTTTCCAAAATTAGGTATCAAATTAAAAAGCTTGGACTGCAGATGTGCAATAAGGTCTTACTTTTTTGAAAAGAGTTGCCACCTTTTAAAAAATTATATTAAAATTATTAAAAAAAAAATAAACCAATTATTACAAAATGGGTATCAATAGAAATGATTTAAAAAAATTTGTTTCTGAATTTAACTATAGGTTGCCACCTGTTAAAAAAAATCAAATTTAATTAATTAAGGGAATTAGGTAAGCGGAATATGTGTGCCCATTTGAAACTTGTATTTTATTCTACTAGAATTCAATGGACTGCATACTCAGAATCTAATTAAAAACTCGAAATTTTTACGAAAATTCGTTGATTTTTTTTTTTAATAGCATAAATTTTTAAGGCAGTGTCACTTGATTGGTACATTTGTGCATTTTTATATTGGGCTATTTGACAAAATAAAAAAAAATTGGGATTTTTTTTTTCAAAATTGCATTTGCATTTTTATATTGGGCAATTTGTACAAAATAAAAAAAATGTGGATTTTTTTTTAGGTAAAAGCTTGGTACATTACAGCAATCTTGTATTAAAAAATTTCAACAAATTATTTTTCGTGATTGGGATAAAGAAACATATTTGGGTATTCACACAATTGGGATACGATTTGCCCCAAATTTTGGCAAATTCCCAATCGTGTGACACTGCCTTTAAACTTGTATTTATACGGATGTTGGTAAAGAATAAACTATAAAAAACTAACCAAAATTAAATAACAAGAACAATAATATTTTAAAACTTGTCAAAATTTGGTGCGGCTATAATTTTGTCGACTACTGTACATAATTTGACTATGATCACTGTGCTATCCCAATGCCGCTAATATTTGATTTCAAAATTTCAATCCTGTTTGCGTGAAATATTTTATTTTTATTAGTATTTTTATTTTAATCAATCTATGTTGAAATAAAAGTGAAAATAAGAAAATATTTTGTCGGAACCCCCCTTTGTCTACGGCCTTTGATGACATAAAGACAATATGTTTATTGGCTCAACCAGCCACCTACGAAGCGCCCTTCCGTACCTGCCCATATGAAGCTGCTGTCGGCGGTGAGTTTTCGTTAACACGAGAATCCCATAATATAGGTCGTGTCAGCTGACACGTTGTACGGTTTTACTTCGATGGCTGGTTGAGCTCTATGAATTACCCAAATACAGTTGTATATGCATTAAATGTGTTTTCTTTCTTTTCTCATTTATTTTAAAGAGAGTGGAAAAACGTACTCTGACATTGTGTGGCACACCGGAATATATGGCACCTGAGATAATTAAATCCAAACCCTACTCTACCAGCGTCGATTGGTGGGCCTTCGGTATATTAATCTATGAATTTGTAGCTGGTAGTTCTCCATTTGCCGAATACAATCGGGACGTGATGGGAATGTATGGTAAAATTTGTGATGGCGCTTACAAAATACCACAAATGTTCCACCAGCGCTAAAGGACTTAGTTCAACGATTATTGATTGTAGATCCCTCAAAAAGGTGAAATACGTAAAATTTGTCTACTTATCTAAAAATCTAATAAAATACGATTATCTTGTTAAAAGACTCGGCTGTATGGCTAATGCACAGAAGGATATTAAAAGTCACGAATGGTTCAAAGGCATCGATTGGTATGGTCTATTAAACCAACAAATATTGCCACCTTACGTACTAGTTATTACAAATATGGAAGATCTTTCGAATTTCGATAAGTATCCTGAAGATAAAAAGTCTACAAAATCAAAATCAAATAAATATCCGGAAATATTCGCTGAGTTTTGATTGATTAATTTACTATTTGTTTTTTATTGTTGTGAGTCGATAAATTACTATGCAATTTGCTATTATAAAATAAAATCAGTACAGTTAACACTAAATACTAGCAAGACATTCATATAATTTGCAAATATAATTTGACAATTCTTCATATATTGTGTACTTACATTCAACATTTAAATAAGCCGAAGCACTTTGCGGATCTCCAATGCCATTCGTCACCTCGCACAAATATTGACCGGAATCGTCAGCGCTAACTGGATTTATAATTAGCGAACCGTCTTTGCGTATTGTGACGCGCGTCTCCAGTGAGGCCACCTCCCGTACGGGAGAGCCCTCGCGAAACCATCTAACGGTGACATTACCGGGCATTGCTTTCGCTTCGCACGAGAATATCACCTTTTCGCCCTCGAGTTTGGTTTGATTAGTGGGCGGCACCTGTGAAAAAAGGATAATACAAATTTTTGTTATAGCAAGAGCGTTAGTTCGTAGAAGAAAAAGGAACAAAAATATCAGCGTTTCTTTTAATAGTAAGCATAAATGTTTGGATCTAGTAAATTGTTGTAAGAGTAGGTAAAACATAAAGATTCAATTAATTTCAATATTGCAAATAGAAGGTTGAAGATGAAATAAAAAATTAGGAGAGATGATATATGGGTGTTTCCATGATGTCGGACGAGACATTCCTACCACTCCAGAGTTATATAAATCATACGAAAACGGAAGTCACTTATATCGTCTCCTGGTTGACAAAAAAATTAGGTGCGCTTGGAACACTGGTGCCGAGAAAATCGATGAAAAGGACGTCATAACGGAACAGAAGTGGTTTCAGAGTGCATGTAAAAATAAGCAAAACTGCGATTCCTTTGAGGTTTCCGTTTCCTAAATATTCTTTAAACAAAGTAAAATTAAGGACTATTACAATCAATTAATTTTTATTCAGAAGCATTTCATTGTAGGTTTAATTTTGAATTAAAATGTTATACCGGATGTGACAGATTTTTCCCCCATACAATATATTTACTTTTAATACTTATATAAATTAATTTTTTTATTTAATTTTTTCAGTTCTATTCTCCCCCGTTCGCGGTTTTATAACCTTTTTTCACCATATGAATACGAACACGAATTTTAAAGTTATGATACCGTTTGAACTCATATACTTGCATTTTCCCGTCAAAAAAAAAAAATTTTGAAAAATATGTACTATTTGATATCAATATTTTATCTGTGATTTAAATATACATACACTCATACATATCTTTTATTTTAGCATCATTTTATTACACCGGAACTAATTGAGAGTGGTTTTATAAAACCTTGTCATATTTCCATACTATATTTAGCATCACTAATAAAATAAATCAGTGGAAAGCCACAAATAACGATGGCGGGAAGTCATATACTAACTCATTCAGTTCCAATTTTATAAATCAGCACATTAAAAAGGCACATATTTTGTACATACGTAAGTATGTAATTAAATTATTTACGGCATTGCATGAAAATGTCATAATGCATAGTGAATAGCTACGGTGACCATCCGTCCTGTATAGGGATGCAAATTTTGAGCAGTAACATCGATACATCGATGTTTCGATGCATCGGAAAAAAGAACATCGATGCTAAAATACATCGCCAGAATAACATCGATGGTTTCCGATGTTTTTCAATTTGTTCATTTCTAGTTAAATTTAAAGCAATATTGAATATTAATAATTATGAATGTATTTTCCTGTACTTTATTATAAGGGTATAGCCTTTCTAAAGATCTTAGGCCTGATCTTGTTGAAATTCTAAGGGGTGTTTGGTTCCTTTTTTAACGGCTAGGTTATTAGTATTCAGAATGAATCCAACAATTTTGTTAAGCTTGGGCCGTTTTTTATGAAAAATATTGTGGAAAAGCAACAACAATTTACAAAGTTAAGAAGTTATAGCTGCTATTTGGGAGATCACCACATCTACTAATCAGACTTCTTCAAGCGCGGTCACTGAGGAGATGTGGTGGTCTCCGAAATAGCAGCTATAACTTCTACCTTTTGTAAATTATTGTTGATTTTCAATAACATTTTTCATAAGAAATGGCCTCAAGCTCAATAAAATTGTTGAATATAATTGTCATAAGGTCATAAATAACAAAAAAAAAATTCTGAATGGATAATAAATTTAAGGTCAGTCAAACATACCGAAAGAAAGTCGGAGAGTCTCCTTAAAGTCGATGTTTAAAACATCGGTAAAACTTCCATCGACGTATCGTCAATTTCGCGATGTTAGTAAATTGTAAACATCGATGGCAAACATCGAAAATTGAACCGATATTATCGATGTTTCAAAAACATCGATGCATCGTTTGCATCCCTAGTCCTGTATTATACGGAACAGTCCTCTTTTTTGACCCATTGTCCTGGTAATTAATTTATTTTATACGGGACACCACACATGTTCTGTATTTCTTTTAATGTCCTGTATTTGTCCCGTATTCGGTGTTTCGACGCCTTAACAGCCAGGGCTGCCAACTTTGATCAAACGGTGCCATTTTTGGCCCTATTTTACATCAAATGGCACTTCATTTTTCAATTTGGTACTTTTGAAAAATAGTAATATTTCAATACATTTTTGTGAAATCCTTTATTTGTACACTCTAAAAAATCTGTTTAAAAATCCGACTGTAAATCGAGTATATTTTTGTTTATTTTTTAAATTTTTTGGTAAATTTAGGACGGTATTATCACTTGCGAAGCGAATGAATTTGGCGAAGCGAACGGTTTGGAGAAGCGAATGGATTGGCGAACGCAACTTAAATATGCATTAAGAGTGTTCGCTTTTACCAGCTTGTGCAAGTTCTTTGCATCGCGAACACTTTTTATACCTTCTCTGCCTTTTAATTGGCTTCGCCAAACCGTTCGCTTCGCCAAAATCATTCGCTTCGCAAGTGATAATACCGTCCTTACACGACGAATATATATTTATCTTGTTTACACATTTTCGTGTGTAAAAATCCTTTGTGTTTGCGACTTTACACAATTCTGTGGGTGAAATCAAAGAGCAGATGTGTATTTTGTAGCGTGGACACACTTCAGTAGTAAATTTACGCACACCATAGCAGCTATATTACAATCTAAAAAGTCCGAAATTTAAAAAAAACTATTCGTTGAATAATCGAGCATGTAATTTCGCGAATAATAAGGTAGGAAATCAGTAACCTACTTTTAGCTAGGAAATTTACAGATTTTTTTTTAGAGTGTACTTCTTTTTCTCAACTAAAATTTTTTAATTTCTAAAGGTTATTCAACTGGCTTATCATATTTTGGCATTGGACTTTTGTTTTAGAAATGGGGTTCTTATTTTATTGCTAAATGGGAAATATGAAAAAGCATAACACCTTTTTTGCCACTTTTATTTTTCTATTTGGCACATTTTGGCACTCAATATGGCACCTTATAGCGAAGGATAGTTGGCAGCCGCTGTGGTATAGTGGTAAGCAGTGCGCGCTTCCACTCCGCAGCGCCAGGGTTCAAGCCCTGGTCAAAGCAACATTGCAAAAAAAAAAATTTAGAAAAAAGGTTTTTTATTAACAGTGGTCGACCCTCGTCAGGCAATGGCAAACCTCCGATTGTATTTCTGCCATGAAAAACAGCGTATTATTGCAATACAATCGCCGTTCGGATTCAGCGTAAAACTGTAGGTCCCTCCTCTTTGTGTGACAACATCAAGGCGCTCGCCACAAATCGGAGGAGAAGCTCGGCCAAACACTAACATATGCGTAAGCGCCAATCTATTATTATTAGTTGGCAGCCCTGTTAACAGCTCATTTAAATGACATTCCTATGAACGAGTTTTAAGTGATGTTGTTATATGATCGTAATTTTCTCTGTAAACACTTATTATTTTCTAATCTGAATGCCTGTGATTCGAATCGAGGAATACATACAGTGACCAAAATAGAAATTAGGACTTGACATTTTAGCAAGTATTGGCTATTTTTTTTTATTTATTATTTAATTTATGAAAGTAAAGCTGTTTTCCTAAAAAAATCCGATATAATACCAAATTTCCAACTTTGTGCAAAAAACTATAAAAATTAATTCTGCAATGTCTCACCAAAATTTCAAACTTTTTAATTAGAATCTTTAGAAAAAAATTTGGTTAGCAGTTTTGTAACTCATTAAAATTGAGTATAATAAAGTGCGTATGAAATAAATGCGTCACCAAAAAAAATGCCAAAAATTAATGAGAAGCCTTAGCGACTTAAACTAGCACTCTATTATACTAAAATTTAAAAAATTTTTTTAACAAATTTTACGTGGTAAAAATCTCGAGAAAATTATCCTACAAATGTAGGATACTAAAGGGATACTGTTTCAGGGCTAATACATCTAGAATCATTGAAGAAGGCTTCAACACCTGTAAGCTGTCGTGGAAAAAGTTTGCAAAATTATTCAACAATTTATATTGAGCTCGAGACCGTTTTTTAAATGAAAATTTATTGTGGAAAAGCAATAATTTGAAAAAATGGTAGAAGTGATAGCTATTTCGGAAATCACCACATTTCCTCATCAGACTTCTTTCAGTAGGATTCGAACCGACGATCCCACTGACTGAGCCAGTTGCCTATGCACCGTGCTAAGTACGCCTTGTAAATTATCGTTTGCTTTTTTCCACTATTTTCATTTTTGTTATGCCAACACAAAAAATTTGCAAAATTATTTTTTGTCCCGTATTCGGCTCTCTTAAATATGGTCACCGTATGCATAGCATGCTTTTAGACGCTTAGTGTGTATGGTCGCCTAAACCGTATGTAACGTGTCGAAATCTAATGTACATACATACACATGTCCTGACTTAAAAATATTTTGCGGTCAAAGCTGTTGTAAGCGAATCAAGTAGCATCTGTGGATTTAAAAGTTTGTGTGGAAGCTCATTTGTCAAATGCCCGACACCATTTTCTACAATGACCAGAGATGGCAATGTTTCCTTGTAAACTTCACCTTTTTCGTTTTAGTTCAGAAATTAGCAGTTTAAATTCAGAAAGTTACAATTAAAGTTCAGAATTTCTATTTCGAATTCAGAACTTTCATTAAAAATTCAGAAAGTTACACTTCAAATTCAGAATTCCCATTTTAAATTCAGAAAGCTTCAATTAAAATTCAGAATTCTTATTTTAAATTAAGAAAGTTGCAATTCAAATTCAGATCTCCATTTCAAATTCAGAATGTTGCAATTCAAATTCAGAAAAATACATTTGAAATTCAGAGTTTCCATTTCAATCTCAGAAACTTTCATTTCAAATCCAGAAAGTTACAATTTATATTCAGAAAATTTCCATTTCAAATTCAGAAATTTACAATTTACTTTCAGACGATTTAAAATTAAGTTCAGAAAACTTATATACCTTGTATTCAATGGAAATATACATATGTATGTATATATGAAATTTGTGCAAGTCTTTATCTCTATGTATGTAATTATTTATTTTCATTTAAGGAAAAGAGTACCAATTCAACCATAGCTGTACATACATACATACTTAGCATGAAATGAAAAGCAATGCTGTGTTGCTCGTGCACAATCTCCACCTGCTATGGGTACCATGGCATGATCAATCTTTTTCCAAGTATTGCAGCCTCTGCTACGTTAATCCTGGACCCTCAACAAGGGGCACATCCATACTTGGTTTGACAAATTACTTCATTTTAGACCATATTGTTTCTTCTGGATTTAGTATAGGCGAATATGGTCCCAAACGAAGATACAACTTAAAATCTCAAAATCGTACAGTGAATACGAAATTTTCTGAATTTAAATTGGAAATTTCTGAATTTGAAATGAAAATTTTCTGAACTTGAATTGTTACTTCCTGAATTTGAAATAAAGGTTTCTGAATTTGAAATGCACCTTTCTGAATTTAAAATGGAAATTCTGAATTTGAGTTGTAACTTTCTGAATTTGAAATGGAATTTCTGAATATGAATTGCAATTTTCTGAACTAAAACTGAAAAAGGTGTAGAATTAGGTACGTATGTTGTTTATTGGAATTTGTTTTATACATACATATGAAAGATGACGTGACATCTGACAATGGAATAATAACTGGTAAGTTTCATTGACGCTAACACCAGAATTACTTGGTGCTTATTGCCTTTAAAACCTTGGCTATTGAGGAATATAGGGTGCGTTCCAAAACGTCAAAATACAAAGCATCAGTCTCTTTTATTTTTAAACCACACTAGAAGGAAAAGTCTAATTTGCGCAACCTAGTAGAAAACTTGCATCTAACCGTGGTTGCGCACATTTGGCATTAAAATCTATTGAGGTCTAGAAATAAAAGAGACTGATGCTTTGTATTTTGACGTTTTGGAATTCACCCATACTTAGCGCTTTTGTTCGGATAAAAGCATTCTACGTACATATCTAATAGAAGTGCACCAGATCGAAAAATAATGGAGTTGTTTGACAGGCGAAAAGAATGTCTGATTCAAAGTTCTCCCACCTTTTTCTAATGTTTTAATTATTATTTTCAATATTTTTATTGAGCTTTGTACCACGATTGTTTATTAGGAAAAATT